ATATATAAGTAAGCATGTTAGATATCGTTTTTACATTCCTTTTATATACCATTCCCAATTGAACAGAAAACTTGAGAAAAAGAATAAAAATTGTATGGAATATTATACGATAGGCATGCTTAGTGACATGAATGATGTTCTTTAAATTTTGAATATATCTCACAGTTCCTGCGCAGTAAATGCCGAACACCTGCGAACTGTTCGCCCCATATTCTTCTACATTTGATACCTTCGAGTTTCCAGTTAAGAATGGTACCGATCCTCAACGGAAATATAAAAGCGAAGTGACTGTATGACCCTGTCAATGCGGAGTTAGTCAACGGACCGCTGTTGTAAAAAAAAAAGCAGATCTATCCCAACTTTTGAGGGGAAAATAATCGACGCTAAACCTATATACGTATGTATATACGTCATTAATATTTGAATTTCTCCAAATCCTTAGTTTACGATTGTATGTTGTATACATAATTTCTTATTTTCTTTCCTTTCTGTATATATACGTACACAATTGTATTACCAATATGAAATCTATATCCGTATATGATACATCTAAGTATTATACCATTGAATTAAAAAATATGCATTCGAAAGGAATCTTAAGAAGGAGAAAAACATTTTAATAAAAGAATCTCCTTTTTTTATTCGTCTTATATTTCAAAGTGTATTTATAGGAATACTATTCAGCGTTATCTATATTAATAAATTAATTATTGTTATATATAATATATTACTAATATTATAATATTATTCCCATTAAAATTTCCGGAATATTACTATAAAGTTACATTAATATCCCCTTTGAAAAGGAATAAACTTTGAACAGATTAATAAAATTAGGGGCACAAGCTTTTACAATAATCTACTATTTTATTCGTTATATTAAAAGTTTTGTCGGAATTTTTCTGCTTTTTGGGCAGTGACTGATATATTGTATGTTAATGAGGATCGATCTACGTAATATTTTTACAGTTCTTAAATAGCACCATATATCTACATGTGTTAAAAATAAATAATGTATTTTGTCTAGATCACTATATTTGTAAGTTCTTGTAAATTTTGAATATAACTATTATACGATATACTAT